TGTTGTATAAGGGCTGCAAGTAACAGTTATACAACAAACGTGTAAGCCTCTTGCAGCCGCTATAGGACATTTGCGTCAGTGCAAGATTCAGTTTTTGTCAACTATACAACTATTCTGTTACGTGATTCTACTTTATTGCAACCAAACTATTTCTTATGTATTGTATAGACGAAGTGAAGAATATATAACTAACACAATACAGTCATCTTGTTTACTTACATATCGGCCATTGTGAATTTCATACACCGGTATATGATAAACTTCTACACTGAGATATAGGGCTATTGAATTACTTGCGCAGCAAATTTTATTGTGATTATCGTGCAAAGTAGTTACGCAATTTCTATGGGCTTCGTATTTGATTCATATTTTGATAATGATCAAAAGTATGTCTAGATTTTTGAGATGGAAAGCTGAACTTATCTGCGTTCAGTCTTCCATAAATCCTATATTAAGACACAATTACACTAATGTTTATCACTTTATATCTGTAATTTCGAACTGAAACATAATTATTTAATATCAAATAGAGGAATAAATGTTTGCCCAATATGGCGGGTGGTTGTGTATAATCATGGCATCGTCCATGTTGTCTTTAGTTTATTAGAATATTTTGGTGTTGCCTGCAGGTGTTATACAACAATTTGAGAAATGTCAAAAATGAAATACCTACAGAGTCGAATGATTTACCTGGAATTTGTACCAGATCTATATCTTCTGTTTGAACAGTTGATAAAACCTTTTTAACCAATATGCATGCGTTGTTTGTCTTAAAACATTGGTTATGGCATTTTAACAAAAATATGACAGCAGAAAGTTAGGTTATGGTGAAGTTGTATACCAACATATTTAGCATTTGTACAGCCTTTAACAGTTACTAAACAACAGTTGTATAAGTGCTTCCGTTGGGAGCAATTTGTTGGCTAAAGCAGTAAATTGGCACAGCAAAACCACAAAGCTCGGGTTTGTTTTATAAACGTTACCATGGATGCCACAACACAACCATTTTGACTAACCTGCAAATATGCCGTATAAAATAGTTGTATAAACGTTTATGCAGCAGTTAAAAATTTGTCCTATGAGGTGTTGTGCAACTATGCTATAAGAATATTTTAAACACCTCATTTTAGAGCAAATATGTTGCAGAAAGCAAATTTGCATTCCACACAACATTAAGCCAGCATTTTGGTGTTCAGGCAACAACAATAGAGAGCTTTTATGGCTGAACGGTTCTTTAACCAAAAGCTTATAGCACTACTTTGCTAGTTGGGTAGCGAGGGCGACACAAGGTGCCGTAGTAACTGAAGGGTCATTGAAGGGGTCAGCCTTAAAATCATCCGAGGCTTCCACAGCGGACACGCAAGTCAAGTTCCCGGGATCATTATTTAAGATGGATTGGTGAAATGTATACCCTGATAGTGATTCGATACGCATGTTGGTTACTTTTGTGTCTCCCAGCGCCTATATTACATGAATTACTATTCCACCACTGTCTGTTACTAAATTTAAAGGGGGTATTCTATTAGACGGTTTTGTCTCTTGCCTCTAGACGAACAAACAAATGCACAGTAACTATCCTCTATACCGGAGGTACAGTCTAGCCAAAATAAGGCAGCCCAAAGTGCCATCTATCACATCAGATTCGACCACCGCGGAAAGCGCATAGTTGCTATTATTTGGAATGTTTAGTTCTGTTTAGATTTATTAGTTAGATCATGAGGGTCATGGTGGGTCTCTTAGCAGGACACTGTCGAGGTTACATGCTGGTTTTGTAAAGAGAACGAGGAAACTCCGGTGCATCTTTTGTGGCACTCCGAAGGATTGGCGATGATGCGGATTTATACAGGGTTTTTAGTAAAATATATACCAAAGCTTTAAGATAACGGATATATTATGTTCCAAGAAGCAATAAATGATGCAATACAACCCTGCCACCCTCACCTTCCACTATGCCATTCTACGTCAAAACGTATGATGATGTACTATGTGAGTCAGTATCCAAATCAGGCGTCGCGTGGTGTCTATGCTAACCTAGTTTATGAACAAACCGGAAGGGGCACATTCCTAGAGTAATAACGTAGTTATCGATTTGCTACGAGGGATGTCTTTTAAGTTTTGCATATGGAAATAAAACAACACGGTAGGCAGTTTTAAATGACTTTATTGTTTTTTGAAGTATTCTCTACGAAGATTAATACACATCTGCATGCGCTCGAACCAATTTTCGAAGCACTTATTCCACTCGTTTGCTGGAAGATCCAAAACGGCACTTTTGAATGCGTCAACTGCTTCTTCTGGTGACTGGAACCTTTGACCACGCAGTCTGCTTTTAATTTTCGGGAAAGTAAAGAAATAGTTAGGACTTAGATCGGGACTATATGGAAGATGGTCCAATAATTCCACGTTTTCTTCCGTTAAATACTGCCTTGTTATTTGGGCTGTGTGCGAGCTTGCATTGTTTTGGTGGAGGATGAATCTTCTTTCGGGGTTGATTTTTCGAAGCCCGGTGATGACTTTTGGCAAACAAATGGTGGTATACCAATCCGCAGTAACAGTTCTTTGCTCATTAAGAGGAATTGTTGCAATAAGACTCGCTTTTGACACAAATGTCGCGACCATCTTTTTTGAAACACTTCGAGAACGGATGACTTTTGTTGGCTTTTCTTCACCTTGGAACACCCAAGCAGCCGACTGTCGTTTATTTTCTGGTTCATAACAGTAAATCCACGATTCATCACCACTAACAATGCTGTACACATTTTTTGAGTTTCCGGAATTGAAACGGTCAAGCGTTTTTTGACACCAATTAACCTTGGCTGCTTTCTGCTCTTCAATCAACTAATTTTCTTACTCCTAATTCTTCATTTCTAACGACTTGGTGACACTTAAAAATTCACTGTAGTGAGAACACTGCATATATTGTTGTGAAACTTTGAATTTAAGTTTACCAAAGAGTGAGGTTAAGATTCAGTACTGACGTTCGATCTGCGCGGTCTACTATATGTAAAACTTAAAAGACATCCCTGGTATGAGCATCTTCAAGATACTATCGATACTCCGCGAGCGTACTGAGAATGTGCACGTTGTCCTCGATGTTTCTTTCCATCAGAACTGTATACGTTTGGTTATATTGTGCAAAAGCCGTCTGGTAGAACACAGTTGAAGACCTAGATCGCCCCAAATATAGCAAATCTGGGAAGAGGTAAACAAACTCGTGTTTTCGAATTGAACAGCAACTTCAACTTTAAGCAGTGTTCACAGACAAAACATGTGACAGGGCAGTATTCGAAATTTCTTACCAAATGAATATTGAGTAATTTCTTTTTTGTTATCGGTGTTGTTTTGACGCAATTTAGCTTGGTATTGCTAACGTAGTTGACTCGCGAATATAAAAGCGTAATTTTACATTTAAAGCAGCCTCTCGAGGCTATGAAGTTTCACTAAAAAGATCCTCTACCTAGGGTATAATAAGTAAAACCCTATGAAGCACATTTGTATATTCTACGTTATAATTTTCCTAGCGACCCTGAATTACATAGTACTACCGTTTATATCCAAACAACACTTCGGTCATAAAGTCAACTCGTTGCGAAGTAACAAGCACATGAGACTTTTCTTCTTCTCTATATCTATTTTCGATACTCTGACTGTTGACAAGATACTAGCGGAGAACTCTCAAGCGCTGTGGGTGAAAAGTACTACTGCTTAGTCAGTCTACTTTAAGTTATAGTAAGAAAAACTGAATGTAGCATAGGTTGTATCTTCTATAGAAATAGGTTCTTCCAGCAGCTTCAAAATCAGGGTAGCACCGTTTATATCCAAATAGAACTTTAACCAAGGAGTTGGTCCGCTTCTGAATACCAAGCACACTAGACTTCCCATGTTACTCAGTATTCTGACTCCGTTTGACTGTTTTTTCATAGGCTGCTTTGGACGAGGCACTAGATGATAATTACCTAGGACTGTAAGTGAGAAGTAGTACCTGGGAATCTTAACAATAGCTTTTGCCGACACTATAAAAAAGCTGGACGAAGCTCAGGTTGTACTTTTTATTACAAAACGCTTCTCTAGCAATACAAAAATCAAAGTAGTACCGCTTATAACCAAATAAAAAATTTACCAAAGAGTCGACTCGTTGAGGAGTACCAATCATACTTCTTTCCTAAACCTTTGATTAGTATTCTGACTCCGTTTGAACCATGTCCTTTTATTGACTTCATTAGACAAGGTACTACAATAGCTGATAATTCTCTCGGACTGCTAGTAAGAAGTAGTACCGTTGAGTCTTAGCAATAGCTATCAACGGCACAATAACAAAACTGGACGACGCTTAGGTTGTATTTTTTAATACAAAACGCTTCTCTAGCAATACAAAAATCAAAGTAGTAGTAAAATTTATAACCAAAGAAAAGCTTGACCAAACAGTCGACTCGTTGCGGAGTTCCAAACACACTAGACTTTTCAAAGCTTTTAATCAGTATTTTGAATCCGTCTGAACTATGTCCTTTTATTGGCTTCATTAGACAAGGTACTAGCTGATATTTCCTAGGACTGTTATTGAAAAGTAGTACCACGGAATGTCAACAATACCTTTCAAGGGCGCAATACAATTAAAAAAAGCTCGATGAAGCTTAGGTTGTATTTTCTATTACAAAACCTTTCTCTAGCGATACAAAAATCAAAGTAGTACCATTTATAACCAAAGAAAACCTTGACCAAAGAGTCGACTCGTTGCGGAGTACCAAACACACCATACTTCCCTTCCCGTCTTTTCAAAGCCTTTAATCAATATTTTGAATCCGTCTGAACTATGTCCTTTTATTGGCTTCATGAGACAAGGTACTAGCTTATATTTCCTAGGACTGTTATTGAAAAGTAGTACCACTGAATGTCAACAATAGCTTTCAAGGGCACAATACAATTAAAAAAGCTCGATGAAGCTTAGGTTGTATTTTCTATTACAAAACCCTTCTCTAGCGATACAAAAATCAAAGTAGTACCGTTTATATCCAAAGAAAACCTTGATCATAGAGTCGACTCGTTGCGGAGTACCAAACACACTAGACTTTCCGTCTTCCCTATCTCTATTTTCAGTACTCTGACTGCGTTTGAATTGAGCCCTCCTATTGGCTGCTGACAAGGTACTAGGGGAGAACTCTCCAGCGCTATGGGTTCTTCTGGGAGCTCTTCTCCGTTTGCGGACACTTCTAGTACTAGAGCGGGCTTGATAGAAGCGCTCGTGGCCAATGACGTCAGGTTCTTTTTCGCCATCTTCTTTTTGTTTGATGTTTTGGTAGAGGTTAAACATGGTGCACCTGAATCGTGAAAAATATGATTTATTCAAAGCGACGAACACGTTCAATGTCGTGATATATTGAAGGTTTTTGAATAAAAAGAAAGAAGAATTGTTACAAACTGTGGCCAGAAAACTTCAAGGTCAGACACAAAACTGAAAATATGAAAAATAAGTTCATATAATCGTGGGTCTGGAAGTTTCTCGTCTTCATGATCCAGGGTGCTTAATCTGGGTTTTGCAAGAAATTATGCGTGGCTGGTTTTTAAAAATAGTTATATGGTATTTTTTCAAAGCCAAGTTGATCATTCATGATCGCTAAAAAAGAGCCAGTTCTATTATTATTATTTTACTTTTCACGCATATTGGCGAAAAAGTATTGTAATCGCGAAAGATTCTGATAATGAAATATCATGTTTTTTATTTCTTATGTGACATGTCTGCTGGTCTGCCTGTTGACCTGTCCATCTGCTTGTCCTCTAATCATTGGATCGTCTATAACTTGGACATTACGGCTCAGATTTTGAAGAAATTTTCACACGAGATAACTAGTTTGTCAAAGACGGAAAAGCTTTGTAGTGTTTGAAAATCGGTCCAGTGGCAGCGCGGAGAAACATATACAGGGCAATTTACAAGTCGTGGCCAAAAATAAAAAATCAAACACACATGTAACATTTTTTCCTGGAGGTCTTCATTAATAATAAAAATAATTTTTTTAGTATCTTCAAAATGGGCAACTGAAATGAACTAAAATTTGGTATGAGGATTCACCTAAGTATTGTCCAGATTCAAACGTTTTCACTTAAAATTGACGTGCTCCAGTGGCGGAGATATAGGGGATTAGTGGCATTATGTTTCCAAATAAAAATAGCACGCAACTATTTTTCGAAACGCGCAATTTTTCGAATTTTACCTTCAATTTGGTATAAATATACTAAGTGACATATAAATCCGAACACCCAGTTTAAATGGTTTTATTTTAATAAAATTTTGTATAAGTACTTAATGAAGCATAATAAGTGAATGATAAAAATTTCAAAATGATTACACTGCTTTAAAGCCCTTTGACCTTTAATAATGTGTGGATGCACCCTGATGTGCTACGCATTCTCCAACGCGCCTAGGCATGCTTCTGATCAGGTGGTCAATGTCCTCCTGTGGTATCTCATTCCAGGCAACCAACAACTCCTCTCGAAGTGCTTCTAAAGTCTGAGGAGGACGTTGCAAATTGAGCAATCTCCTACCCATCATATCCCACACGTGCTCAATAGGGGATAAGTCGGGAGATCTTGGTGGCCATGGTAACAATGTGACATCATTATGTTGAAAGAAGTCTATTGTCACTCTTGCATCATGTGGTCGGGCATTATCTTGTTGGAAAGTTGGATCTGCCAGGGTGTCAAGATAGGGTAAAAGATGGGGTTCTAGAACTTCGTGGATATAACGCTGCGCGTTCATGTTACCTCTGATGAAGATTAAAGGTGACCTGGAACCATAAGCTATAGCACCCCAAACCATAACTCCAACAGTGTGATGAACATGTCTTTCAACAAAAAACTGTGGATTCCTCCTTTCACCACGTCGCCTTCTAACCCTGGCACGACCATCGTGCATGCCTAAACAAAATCGAGACTCGTCACTAAAGACAATAATGTTCCATTCCTGATCTCAGAGTGATCGTTGTCTGCACCACTCAAGGCGATTACGTCGGTGTTGTCGAGTTAAAGGGAGGACCCAGTGTGGCCGGTATGAAAACAAGCCAAAACTTCTCATTCGTCGGTAAACACTTCGCATGCCAATAGGTCTTCCGTGTTCTGCAAACCATTCATTTGCAATGGACCTGGTAGTGGAGAAACGGTCCCTTAAGGCCAATAATATTAGGCGGCGATCTTCACGGTCTGTTGTTCTACGGCGGCGTCCAGTGCCCCTTGCTCTTTGCTTACGGCCTTCTCGAAGCCATGCCTGACAACACCTAACCACAGTGTCTACACTTCTTTGCACTCTAACTGCAATTGCCCGAATAGAAAATCCAGCTTCCCGAAGTCCCACTATACGGCCCCTATCAAACTCACTAAGTTGACGAAATCGTACAGGTCTCCGTACTCTAGGCATCGTAACCGATCGTAAAGGATGTCAAGAACCAAAATCCGCCAACGTTGATTTTTACTGCGGCTGAAATATTCATTTTTAGAGCGTTAGTGAATTAAAAAAAAAGCAGTATAAAAACCGGAATGTCCAACTGATAAGGCTGAAAATTTTTTCACTTGTTATTTACAGTAAGATAAATACATTCACCAACTTTTATTAAAATAAAACCATTTAAACTGGGTGTTCGGATTTATATGTCACTTAGTATAATAACTCTTGTGTTTTTTCCCAAAGTGCACTATTTTCCTACAAGTAAAAATAATAATCAAAGCTTCATTTTAATGAAATTTATTGAACATTTAATGTTCACCAGACCATAATTCTGACGGTTACAAGTGCGGCATCTTTTTAATAAAGAAAAACGTATTTCCGCAACATTTGTTGTGGCTTGAATTTGATGAAACGCATTATGTAATCTTTCTTGTAACTGATCTACAGTATGAATTTGTTCAGCATACACTAGTTGTTTGAAAGTGCCCCACAAAAAGAAATCCAGGGGGTTCAAATCAGGAGACCTCGCAGGTCAATGTACGGGTCCGTTTCTACCAATCCATCATTGTCTAAAATGATTATTTATTTATCCATGCGGTTATGTCATGACGAACATGCGGTGGGGCACCGGCGTGCTGATACCACATTCATACTCTAATTGCTGACGGAACATCATCTAACACATTTTCTATGTAATTCTCTAGAAGAGCTAAGTATGCGTTTGCATCTTAACGTTGTGGCAATACGTGCATTAATTATGTTTATTTGTTTTATTCGAGAAAATTGTATTTTACAAATAAACATTATTAATATTATTATTATTATTATTATTATAACAGTTGGCCATTGAAAACGTCGCACCAGGCATTTCTAGAAAATCTGAGTTGAAACGAGTGGATTCTTACAGAACGAGGATTTTCTAATGACCAAATATGTTCATTATGAGAATTAAAGGTTCCACTAATCGTAAAAAGCGGTTCATCTGACCACAAAACCAAATCAATAAAATCTGCATTTTGATTATGCATTTGCAGTAACCACTCACAGAAATTTAGCCAAATTAATCACTTCCAGTTCCTCTTGAACAGTGTGCCGGACACCATGGCCTCTAACTCCGAGAAGTTTGGCAATTCTAATGGGTTGTCCAATAGGGACGCAGAAAAGTAAACGTCAATTTGACATAGACGCCATCTTTGTTTTCTGTCATCGACATGTCATTTTGTTAGTTGAATGTTTACCATTGATCGCTATGGAGTCGTATTCGATTGAAGACCGCGTTAAAGTTATTCACGAGCACTACAAAAATGGTGCAAAAATAAAAAACACGTTTCGCGCGCTTCGTGAACATTTCGGTCGCAACAACCGCCCAAACGAAACAACCATCGGTCGTCTGGTGCGTAAATTCGAGGCAACAGGTTCTGCGGCAAATCTGCCAGGCTCTGGCCGGCCAAGGAGCGTTCGCACACCGGAAAATATTGCTGTTGTGAAGGAGAGTGTGAGACACGATCCGAAACAATCAACAACGCGTCGATCCCAAGAATTGGGCATTTCGAGAACCAGTTTGCTCCGCATTCTCCACAAAGATTTGAATGTATACGCCTACAAGATCCAATTGACGCAAGAGCTGCGTCGAGCCGAGCATTTTTCGCGCCGAACGTTCACAGATTGGCTCCTTGAACACCGCCAAATTGATGCCAATTTTTCATCAAAAATCATGTTCAGCGACGAAGCGCATTTCACTGTGAATGGGACGGTAAACAAGCAAAACTGCCGCATCTGGGCTAACGAAAATCCCCTTGAGTATCAAGAGCAGCCGATGCATCCTCAAAAAGTGACTGTGTGGTGTGCATTGTGGTCAAAAGGCATCATCGGACCTTACTTTTTCGAAAATGCGACCGGGGACGCCGTTACCGTCAATTCTGAGCGATATCACGTGATGATAGAGGACTATTTTTTGCCGCAACTTGAAGGAATGGATATGGACGATGTTTATTTCCAACAAGACGGCCACACAACCAACGTCAATATCCATCGATTGCAGTCCTTCTTCGGTGATCGCGTGATTTCGCGCAGAGGAAATGTGCCATAGCCACCAAGATCGTGCGATTTGACTCTCTTGGACTTCTTTTTATGGGGATATTTGAAAAGCAAAGTCTACGTCAACAAACCACCCACCCTCCAAGAACTCAAAAACAACATCATTGCCGAGATAAATGCCATAGAACCGACCATGTTGCAAAATGTCATTGAAAATTTCGACCATCACGTGGACGTCTGTAAATCCAGTCATGGTGAACATTTGAGCGATATTATTTTTCATACATAAATGGTATAAATGAACCTTCAAAATAAAGTACCCAACTTGATTTGAATATCAATCTTTCTTGTTTTAATATGCGTTTACTTTCCTGCGTCCGTTTTGGACAACCCCATATATTTCCGAAGTCTTAGAAATGGAGGCGTAAAAACCTTTGGGGTAGGTTGGCGTCTGTTAAGAAATCTACGTTGAAACTCTTGAGAAGCCCTGAAAGCATTTCCATTACAGAACCCTACACAAAAATAATATTGGTGTACTCATCATTGCTAAGCTCCATTTCACAACATTCAAAAATGGAAAAAAGAAACTTTTGACTTGACTAGTAGTAGTAACGATAACAACCGTATAACACATAACTTTGACAAACTATCTCCCAAGAAACGTCAAGTTGGTATCAAGGCCCCCTATTTTATTTTGAAACTAGTTCTACCTCTGCTATTCGTGAATGATCTAATTTTCTTATTTTTATTTTTATGAAAACGGTGCACTCTAGAAAAGACACAAGAGTAATTATTTGTAGCAAATTGAAATTCGTAGAGTTGCGCGTTTCGAAAAAAAACAGTGGC